ATTCATTGTCCAACATTCATGAGTAGGCATCAATATACACACTTTATACACATTCACATTTTTAATAGAAATTGCTTCCAAAATTGTAATATATCATTAACTCCAAATTCACAAACAATTCACATTTCAATAACAAACTAGCCAAATTTTGATATCTACATTGAATGTCTACCTTTGAATACCCAAATTTAGGTACATTCAACTATACCCAAATGCCCAAATGTCAAAATACACATTACAATTTACAAACAATTTAAAATAATATTTCAACATTTCATACATATTCACATTTCACAACAACTTCATTCACAATCAATTCATAATCCCAAAATTAAAAAAAAATTAACATTCTAAACCCTAAATGCAAAATTATATGAAATGGATTTGGATTTACCTAGAATAAGGAGTAAAGAGTGTTGAAGATGAAGATGGAGGGTTTCCGGAGTGGAGTCGCCGGAGATGGAGGAGCGCCGGAGTTGGAGATGGCGGTTCGTCCGTCTTCTTCTTCGTCCGTCGCAGCAGCAGTTGGTTGGGGAGGCTTCTGTGAAGTGTTCTGTTTGGGGCGAGACCCGATTTTTACTTAAGGGAAAGTCGCCCAACGGTTGGGCGACTTATAAGTCGCCAAACCGTTTGGCGACTTATAAGTCGCCCAACCGTTGGGCGACTTACCCCGACCATGGTTAACCCAGCAGTATTTTGGTAAATACTTTTAACCCAACCCTATTTTCGTAATTAATTAATTAATTAACATTAATACGGAAAAAAACTCAAAAGTATAGGCCAGGTAACCCATCTGAAATCAGTATATTCGAGATGCTTATGGACCTCACAGTCACATGATGTCGACATGATCAGGGTTCAACACTCTGAGCTGCTTCTAGCAAAAGGTCAGAGTCATTTGCACAATATTGTACAAACGATGGTCTGTCTTCCTGCAAGTTGCGAGTCAAGTGTCAACAATATTTGCCTTAAAAAAGGGTTTTAAAAAGTGATTTTAGAGAAAGTATTTAATACTCCCTCCGTCCCAGGGAGAAGTTCCCGGGTTGACTTTCACACATATTTAGGAAATAAAGTTACTGAGGGGTAAATTTTATTGTTTGGCACTGTTTCGACACTGTTTGGCACTGTTTCAACACTGTTTGGCACTGTTTTGCACTGTTTGACACTGTTTTGATGTAGGATAACTTTCCATTTAGGGAAATGGGAACTTTTTGTTGGGACTACTAAAAAAGGAAAGTGGGAGCTTCTCCCTGGGACGGAGAGAGTAGTAAAAGTTGGTAGTGTTTGAAAAAAAATGATTCTGAAAACATAAACGTTGATAGTGTTTGGTAAAATAATAATTTTTGTGTAATAGAAAAAGTGAAAATCAGTTTAAAACACCCTTCTACCTACTTCTATTTTTAACTTTTAAGTGCTTAATTTAAATAGAAATTATCATTTGAACACACTCATTTCAACTTTTTTAAGTCAATAGTTGAAAATCACTTTTTTTATTCTTTAGCAAACACTCCTTTATTAACGCAGATGCTAATCTCACCCGTGCGGATGCATGAATATCACTTTAAATCTTTACACTTTTATTTTTGGGACGTTCATTTACTCTTTTACGTTTCCTTTTCAGGCAACCCCTTTTATATTAAATGTCCTAACTACCCTTCACTATCCACTCACTTTTAAATTTGAATAGATAACATTAATTCTCCCAAAAGTCAAAAGGCATACAAGACATTTATTCTTCTATTAATTGAGCTCATAAAATACTATGCCAAAAGCAAAAGTCAATTTCTATCCGGAACGAGGGAGTATAAAATTACCTCATAGTCTCATAGAGTAAAGTATTATTCAAGTTGAATAATATAGATAAATGTTTAAATTAATATACTACCTCCGCCCCAGAAACAACTTCCTGTTCGATTTACGATGCTTGACTGACCATAAAGCAACTCGATCGCTGTTCACACTCGAATTATTTTTAGTAAATAAAATTTACTTATTCAGAAAATATGAATGGTTTTGAAGCCTGATCAAGAAAATTGAAATTTGATAAAAATTTGATATATAGAGTAAAAGATTAGGAGTGATTTAAGTTGACCAATGAATAGTGAATGAGAAGTTAATTTTGGGACGGATGGAGTATGCAATAGGGGATATATTGTTGACAAGTTTAAATAAAGTTTCTAAAACTCGATTACCGAACTCTCATTCTCGTTTTAATCTTCACCTACTCTTGCTTGCTTCCATACATAAATGATAAAGGGAAATGGAAATTAATAATACCGTACGTTTTAGCGGTCTTCTTACAATAGTCTCACCTTATCCAGGGGCGGATGAGCCTATAGGCCAGTGAGGGCGAAGGCCCACACTCAATGTTTTCTGCTCTTGGTGATGTGCTTGATGTGATTCACGATGATGAGGTAACTACTTCTATGCAAAAGGTGGATATAGAATATTTATTGAAAATGATGCATTGCTTTGATTTTGTTCTCAATTTGCATATGATGAAACTTATTCTGGGAATATTGAATGAATTGTCGCTTGCTTTGCAAAGACGGGATCAAGATATTGTGAATGCGATGGATTTAGTTAGAGTTTGCAGGTTTCGACTTCAAATATGTAGAGATAACGGATGGGATTCATTGTTTGAGGAGGTTTGTGATTTTTGTGCTCAACATTCTATTGCTATTCCAAACATGGATGATACCTTTATGCGTTTTGATTCTCGAGGTCGCCCTGGACGTAAAGGACCAACTCTTACAAATATACATCACTATCGCTTTAATTTATTTTGTGCCGTGATTGATTTGCAACTACAAGGGTTAGGTGATCGTTTCTCAGAAGCTAGTACAGAGTTGCTTCTTTGCAATGTTTGCTGATCTCCACAAGATTCATTTTCTTCTTTTGAGAAGAAAAAATTGCTTAGGTTGACTGAGTTTTATCCACAAGATTTTTCACCTTTAGATGTGTGTATTCTCAAAGATCAACTTGAAAGTTATATTTGTGATGTGCGCTCTAACACCTTATTTAAGGACTTGAAAGGACTTGGTGACCTTGCGGAGAAGTTGGTACAAACTAAGAAACACAAGGTGTTTCCTTTAGTTTACAAGCTTCTGACTTTGGCATTGATTCTTCCTGTTGCGACAACGAGTGTTGAAAGAGTTTTTTCTGCTATGAACATCATCACGGATAGACTGAGCAACCGGATGAGTGATGACTGGCTCAATGATAGGCTTCTTGTTTATGTAGAAAAAGACATCTTCTTGAAAATTGACAATGATGTCATTATCAAACGATATCAGTCGATGAAATCTCATAGAGAACAGTTGTAATTTTATCATATGCTTGTATTTGACTTTGATGAAAAGTCTTATTTCTATAGTGTTGTATTTTGGCTTTGAATTTTTTTTGTTGCAACACATGTTATTTTATATCTATTAAATTTTGGCCCTACCTGGATGAAAATGCTAGACCCGCCCTGATCTTATCGTTATTCATGAATAATCTAACTTTTGCAGCTCATCTTCATTTGTTGGTCCCTAATCAGTTGATCGATGACCTGCTATTCTAGGTTTTTTCATTTTCTTTGAAAAACATTCAACCATAAATCCCACCTTTCACAAATCTTCTCTAAACGGTCTCACATATCATTGTTCTTTTTTCTTCCTAAAAACTTTTCTTTTTTTATTCTTATCGCCTTGGCTCTTTTATTCCCCTTTTTGGGCTTCTTATTCTTATTTTTTATTACTTTTCAATTTCTTTTCTCAATGTTTATGTATTCCATTTTCCCTTCATTTTCTTCTTTCCATTTATTATTTCATTTTTACTTTTATATGTTTTGAATTAGTTTCCTTGTACGAATGTAGGACAGTACGTATTTAAATGTAAATTGTTTCCTGGCAGTGGTACGCAAGTAAGTTCTAAATTACTACCTCCGTCCCATTTATATTGGGACGGAAGAGGGTGACACAGTTATTAAGAAAATTGGGTTTGTGTGGTTGATATTAATTGATAAAGTAAGAATAAAGTAAGAAAGATTTAGAGCCACACAAATTTTACCAAATATGGTATGAGACAATTTAAGTGGGACTTCACAAAAATGTAAAACGGGACAATATAAATGAAACGGAGGGAGTATGTTAAATGTAAATATTTAATCTATCATATAATAACTTTCCATGTGTAGCTTCAAACTAATTTCCACCCCTTTTCTTCTTGGACGGCATTGAATAAGATTTGAGGCTCCAATAAATGGATTTTAAATAAGGAGTAGTTACAATGTTTTTAATTGGACAGTTTCCGGTCCCAGATCAGACTAGATTTAAACAAACTTTCAGATCAGATTTCTATAGTTATAAAATACACAAAACTAGATGTTTATCAGATCAGACCAATTCAGATCGAACCAGATCAGACTCAAACAAACCAGACTAGAGCAAACCAACAAATTTCTGTCCAAGTAAAAACATCTTTAATTGAAAAGTTACAGTAATTGCACTGTAAAAAATATACTACATCCGTCCCGCTAGAAGGTTCCCATAGCGAAATGACACAGTTATTTAGGTGATAATCAAATAAAGTACTTTAGGTATATTTTAAGAAATAATTTTAATATGTATATATTAGAATGTGTTAGTATCGATAACTGTGATGTTATAAATGTATTATTCGTAATATTTAATGACTAATTTGTCGCTTAAGATTGTTAATTGTTTCCTAAAATGGAAATAAGAACCTTCTAATGGGACGTCCAAAAAAGAAAAATGGAAACCTTCTAACGAGAGGGAAGGAGTACTAGTAGAATTTTGGAATCTTAAAAGAGTTTTGGATAATTATTAAAAAAAATGGCGGATGTTGATCCAATTACCAGATAGCCATGTGCCCATGTGGGTGACGTTTTAATGAATAGGATATGATTGATATACATTGAGGTATGTCGTGGCATTTTATGTTATTAACATCACATCAGAATAGCAAATGAGTCATTTCATATCACATTTGTGATGCCCTATTTCTCACCTTATAAAAGTATCCGTATCTCACCTATGGCCGAGACGCATAAACTTCAGGTAAAAACCATCATGAACTGCGCCAAGTATTTTTTCAATTTCAAAAATGTGATGAAGCTTGATGATTTAGTGAAACCTGGTGTTATCATCGCGCCACGATTTCTTTGTATAATACAAAAGGTATGTTCTTTCATTGGATTAGTTTAGTTCGTCTAATGCTTGATGTGGTCATTCTCAATGCATTTTATTTCGTATTTAGGGAAAAGGTACAAATAGGCAAACAAAAAAAGGTCAAATAAGCTCTTATTTAGGAGGTTCTGTCTGGCTGTCGTCATTTGGGGTGGTTCCCGGTGGAATTTTTTGATGAATTTTTTTGAGCACCTTATTCATCAAGTCTAGTTTATGCATACCAAATTTCAGCTAAAACTTCATTAGGAAAGGCATTCAAATGAATTCTTGAATATAATTGCGCTTCTAACTGCGTAGTTATTTTCTAGAATTCATTTGAATGCCTTTCCGATTGAAATTTTAGCTGAAATTTGGTATGAGTAAACTAGACTTAATGAATAAGATGCTCAAAAAATTTCATCAAAAAATTCTACCGGGAACCACCCCAAATGACGATGTCCGGACAGAACCTCCTAAATAAGGGCTTATTTTACCTTTTTTGGTTAGTACATGGGCCTATTTGCACCCCGTATTTATATTAACCATTTTATTTTAATCAATCATGCCACAATCCGTATTAAGTTCTACTACCATTACTACGTATGTGTTTGTTGTAAAATAGATGAGTACTTATTTACTTAATCTTCCCAATTGAATCGAACATATTTAGATAGTTGGTATCATCATTATCAATATAAAATAATGCATAATCCGTATGTGATTTACTACGAGGTCTTAATCCAAAGTTGGGTAATCTCTTTCTGAGATCTTTGATATATAACACTGAGATGAGATGAATTGGTTAAATCTAGAAAAATTGGTTATTGAAACAATTGAATGGACTTTGTAAATCATGATAATGACAAGTGTGAATTGTTCATTCTTGTCATCATCCTTATAATCAAAACACTAAGCTTCTTTTCATCCTTGTAATCATAGATAAACAGATGACTAGCTTCATAAATTGTTTTTTCTAAAAAAATGGAGTTTAAAAAGTTTTAAACCGTTTTTAATAAATTAATACAAAAAAAATTAAGTTCACTAAGATTATCAAAACTGATTTTAATACAAAAAACTAAATTTTTTATGTGTCAAACTATTTTTTAATGTATTAAAATGATTTTCATAACTTCCTTATAAAAAGTTATAAAAAAACTCATTTACATACAAAAATTGATTTTTAGAAAACATCAAAATAAAATATGCCCTTCAGGTAAACTTGCCAAAAAGTTTAACATGTTACCTTTAAGAGCAATCAATACAAAAATAACTTGTTTCAAAGTTATAAAAAAATTAATTCAAAAAATTACGACCCCTCATATTAAACTTATACACAGTTTAATATGTTATACACATTTTTTAATTAATAAATAGAACTTCCAAAAAAATTGATGTTCTATTATAATCACACTTAACATTTTAAAATATATAAATTTACAAATTTTAGATGAGTGATCAACAATCAACCTCCCGTGCTGGTCCATCCCGTCCGAACTACACCCCCTTAACGAAGGTCGAGCGCAACAACAAAAATTCGGCTTGGGTGACACCCCAAATAGTTGAAAGATAATTAATTATGAACTTTTTCTAATGTCAAATAATTTTTCTAATGTCAAATAATGTAATCAAAACTTATATAAAGAAATATTATTAAATTTTTGAAGCGATCAAGAAGTGTTGGATCGAATCAAACACATAGTTGGCGGACATTTTGTGGGGAATTGGGGATGCTATGATTTAGTTTAATATCCATGATTTAATTTTTTTATCAAACCATATGCATGAATATATAAATTATATATCTAAATTAGGATTATTATTTACTTACATTTTCAAAAATTAATTTAAAAAATTTACTCCCTCATATTAAACTAATAAACAGTTTAATATGTCTCATATATAATTCCAAAACTAAACATTTACTATACATCATCCCCCTCATGTTAAACTTGCAAAAAAGTTTAACATGTTCAACTTTATATAAAGTTTGGGATATTTAAATTACATATGAAAGTTTGTGGTGCTCTTGTCACATCCCTTCAAAGTTTGGGGTATTTTTATTATTTTTCCTTATAAAAATTTAATAAACTGTGTATAAGTTTAATATGAGTGGTTCAATAATTTCTAATAAACTCATCCTATAATTTATCAATGAGTTGACCCAGTCGATCGAAGAATCGATCAGTTGGAGCTTGTCAATGAGTTGACCTAGTCAATTCTCAGATAAGCTCCAATCTGTCGATTCTTCTGGCTACGGCTTGAGTCATCGATGGACTCTCCCAAGCGCATGTACTGACATTATGTCGCTACATGTGATGTAGCCCATCCATGGTTCAAGGCGTAGCCTGAAGAATCGTCAGGATAAAGTTTATCAATGAATCGACTCGGTCAACTCATTGATAAGCTCCAACCGGTTGATTTTTCGGTCGACTGTGTCAACTCCTTGATAATTATAGTATTTGTTTATTAGCAATTATTGGAACCTGATATTAAACTTATACCCAGTTTAATATGTTATATACATTGACAATTGACAATACTTACATAAAAATTTGATCTTCTATTATAAGCGTTCTAACAAAAAACAAAATAAATTAATATATTTTAGATGAGCAACGAACAATCGACCTCGGCTCCCCGCCCTAACTATGCGCCCATGTCCGAAGCGGAGCGCAACAACGAAGGAGCTGTTTGGGTGACCCCTGCAGAAGTTCTTTTGTAAGTAGTTATGAAGAAACCTTATTTTCAATAATTGTATATAATGTTAAATAATCTAACCAAATCTTATATAAATAAATACTATTAATTTTTTTAAGTGACGAAGAAGTGTTCAAAGGCATCAAAAGCATAATCGGAGGACACTTTCTTGGCACTTGGGCCACGTACTCGGATGTTGACCCCAAGGTTCGCGAACTATGGTGGAACCTGTTCAAGGTAAAAATAAATGAATGTTCCCTCCCTGATTGTATTGGCCTAATATATACCTACTGATTAATTAATCCAATTTGTTTTAATAAAGGGTCGCTATCGTTGGACTCACGCAAACGGTGTCGATATTCTTAAAGCCTACAATGCTAGGATTTCGACCTGGCTTCGCGCCACTTTTAAACGTGCGCGAAAAAGTTCGAAAAAGCCTAAATGGGTTTCGGATGAAGTGTGGTCCAACCTTTGTCGCCACTGGTCTTCTGATCCGAAATTCTTGGCCAGAAGTGAATCCGGTAAGAAAAACCGGATGTCCGAGAAGGCCTTGGAGATGCAGTGGCACGGGGGTCGCAAATCTCAGAATGCCCATAAAGAAACTCTTGTAAGTGCTATTCAAAAAACCTTACACCATCACAATCCTTCATTATAAAAAATTTACTTAATTCTTTTTTCACACCAATTAGGCTGGTCCTGAGAAGAAGAGGGTTGGTGTTCTCCGGCTCGTCAAGCATTGCTGGACGAAGCACGGCGAGGAATCTGAAGCCGATTTGCCACCCCGCCTCGCTGACTTCGAAGTATGTAGCATCATATTTTGTTATTTAGTAACATTTCAAATCTAAGTATGTAGCATTTAAAAAATATTTTTTGAAAATGCAGACGAAGTACAACGAATCCGTTGACAGGCAGCGTGCGGCACGAGACTTGACCCAGGAGGACGACCTCGATTCCGATGCGGATGATGAGGCGGCCATTGAGGCGGCCGGGGTTTACAAGGGCCGGGTTCCGTGCTTGGGGGCCGAGGGGCAACGGATTTTGTATGATCGAAGCACCGGCGCTTCCTCTTCTCGGTCAAGGCGGGGAGAAGATCCTCGTATTGCTGCACTGCAGCGTGAACTGGAGGAGCACGAACGGCGATGGGAGGAGCAGCGGAAAGCAGATGAGGCCACAAAAGCCCGGTTGGAGGAGATGGAACGGTACATGCGTGCCGGATTCCAGCCTCCGCAACAGCCTTTTCCTCCCCCGTACGTATTCCACCCTGAGCAAACTCCTCAAGTTCCGCACATGGGCGGTATGGGATTTTTCCCCAACTCCGGATACGGTGGCATGCCTATGATCTCCCCGAATTTCGGATCTATGTCCTTTGATTTTGTGAGGTCATCCGGAGGAGGTAGTGGTCCACCGAGCCATGGACCCCGAGGAGGACCCCGAGGAGGAACCCGACCTGACCCCGAAGACCCCCCCGTGAACCCAGATGAGTTTCTTGTTGATGATGATGATGAAGAAGAAGAAGAAGAAAATCCTAATTTTTTTCATAATGGAGTCCCACGAAGGGACATGTAATCATCATACATTTATACTTTGTTGTTTGTCAAAACATTTAAAAGTTTGTCACAATATTTATTAAGTTTGTTGTATGTCTTTACTCTTTAAAATGTAATTTTAAATTTAAAAAATTAGAATAATATTTTCAATAACTCAATAGTATAAAAACATGGATAAAAATTAGAATAACATTTTTAAATTTAATTTGTAAAAATACGTATTAAAAAGTAATTTTTAAAAACAACTTTCAAAAAAAAATGGATTTTTTTTTTTAAAACAAAAATAGTAGTCACGGCTTTATCCGTGACTACAGTTAATTCGAAATTATTATTTGTTTTTAATTAAAAACATTATTTTTTAAAAAAAAAAAGCTTAGTCACGGTCGACAACCGTGACTAATTTCAAATTTTGGATTACACCCGCGGGCGGTCTTTTGAAAATTTTGAAAATTTGAAACATTAGTCACGGCCCACAGTCGTGACTAATATTTATTTTTAAAAAAAAAAATAAAGTCACGGTCACAAGCCGTGACTAACACGTCGGAGTGGGGTTTCCGGCATGAAAATAGTCACGGTCCTTGACCGTGACTAACCCGTGACTAAATTTAGTCACGGTTATGTGGCGGTGACTTCACTTAGTCACGCCAATTAAGACACGGATTTAGTCACGGCGGATGACCGTGACTAACCTTTTTAGTCACGGAATTTTTACACTGCAGTCCGTGACTAAATCCATGACTACGCCCGTGTTTTTTTGTAGTGTATGTTTATCAAAATCGTATTTCAATACAAAAAATTTCCATATAATTAATTAAATTGACTAAAATTTTGATGTATCAAACTATTTTGATTTTTATAACTTCCATATAAAAAGTTATAAAAAAATTGATTTTTTTAAAATGTAACTTCCATTATAACTTCAAAATGTAAAGCTATAAAAATTGATTGTTATAAAATGTCCCCTCATGTAAACTTGCCAAAAAGTTTAACATGTTACCTTTAATTTAAGACATATCAATACAAAAATGTATTGTATCAAAGTTGTAAAAAATTTAATCCAAAAAATTACTACCCCTCATATTAAACTTATACACAGTTTAATATGTTACACACATTTTCAATTAATAAAACTTCTAAAAAAATTATCTTCTATTATAATCACACTAACATTTAAAAATATAAATTAATGAATTTTTTATGAGTAATGAACCATCCACCTCCCGTAACCATCCGAACTACGCCCCCTTAACTGATGAAGAGTGCAACAACGAAGATGCCGTTTGGGTGACACCTGAAATGGTTGAAGAGTAAGTAGGTATCAACTTTTTCAAATGTCAAATAATTTTTTCTAAAGTGAAAAAATGTAATCAAAACTTCTATTAATAAATATTATTAATTTTTAAAGCGAAAAGGATGTGTTGGAGCAAATCAAAATCATAGTTGGAGACCATTTTCTTGGGAATTGGGCTTGCACCACAGATGTTGACCCGAAGGTCCGTGAATTTTGGTGGAAGCTGTTCAAAGTAAAAATAAATCAGTGCGTAATTGTAGTAACTTAAAATTTGATAAATGATAAATTATTTTAAATTTTTTAAATAAAGGGCAAATTTCGATGGGCCGAAGCACAAGACCCTAATATTCTTAGAGCGTACAATAAAAGGATTTCTAGCTGGCTTCGTCCCACTTTTAGGCGTGCCTGAGAGAGAGGGTTGCAGCCTAGATGGTGTTCGGATGAAGTGTGGTCCAACCTTTGTCGCCACTGGGCTTCGGATCCAAATTTCTTGCTAAGAAGCGTATCCGGCAAGAAAAACCGGATGTCCAAGAAAGCCTTGGAGACACAATGGCATGGGGGCCGCAAACCTCAGAGTAAACATAAAGAAGCTCTAGTAAGTTCTTATTCAAAAAAACTTTGCACCATTACAACCCTCACATTTCTATAATTATTTATGGGTTTTAAGCCATTTTCAAACCATGTAGGCGGGGCCGAAGAAGATCTCGATCCTCAAGGTGATCAAGCACTGTTGGACGAAGCACGACGATGAATCGGAAGCCGATATGCCACCCCCGCATCGCTGAAATCGAAGTAAATAACATTACTTCTGTAATCTAATAACATTCCAAATAAAGATGATCCTTATTTCAATATTTTTTCTACATGTAGACGAAGTATAACACAACCATTGAGAAGAAACATCCTGAACTAGGCTTGACTGAATCAGATGAACTCGATTCTGATGTGGATGATGATGCAATCCTTGAGGCAGCTAGGGTGTACAAGGGTCGGGTTCCGTGCATGGGGGCCGAGGGGCAACGGATTTTGTACAACCGTAGCGGAGCTTCATCTTCTCGTTCTAGGCGGGGAGAGGATCCACGTATTGCCCAAATGCAGCGGGAATCGGAGGAGTAGCAGCGAGCATTGGAGGAGCAACGGAAAAAGGAGGAAGAAACAAGAGCTCGGCTGGAAGCGATGAATGGATCCTCAACGCCGGATTTCAGTCTCAGCCTCAGGCGTATATACTGCACCCTGAGCAGACTCCTCAAGTTCCGCAGATGGCCGGTTATTTCCAGTCCAACTTCGGGTCCGGGTTGCCTTCATTCTGAGTTTTTCAGGATATGTCTTATAACATGTTTCAGACACCTGGAGGCAGCCACGGAGGCCAAAGCGGAGGTAGCCGCAAAGGCAATTGAGGAGGCAACCGACACGAAAAACACGAGACCGAAGATGATTATTTAAATTATGATGAATCTGGATATTATCATAACGGACGAAGGAGTTTGTAATGATACATTTTTAATTTAAATTGATTTTTTAAATGCTTATACTAGTCTGTTTATTACCTTTATTCCAGTTGATAGATTAAAAGTGTATAAATTTCTTTTCTATTTAATTGTTATAATTCTACAACAATTTTTTTAAAACTATTTTAAACTATAAATTTAAATAAAATTATTTTTCTAAAGAAAATTTTTTTTTTTAAAAAACAGAAAATCTAGTCACGGATCTAGTCCGTGACAAATGTTTTGTCCGATTTTTTCAAAATATTATTTTTAAATTCTTTTAGAAATTATTTTTTAAAAAAATAAATAAATTAAATGTTAGTCACAGGTAAAGTCTGTGACAAATTGAAAAATTTGAAAATTCGAAACAAAAATTTGAAAATTGGCGGTTTTTAAAAAAATTCAAATTTTAAAAATTAGTCATGGATAAAGTCCGCGACAAATTGAAATTTTCGTTTCAATTTTTCAAAATTTTCAATTTGTCACGGACATTATCCGTGACTATATTTTTTTATTTTTTTTAAAAAAATTGTTTTTAAATTTTTAAAAGAATTTAATTTTATTTTTATTTTAAAAAAAATTTAGTCACGACTCAGATCCGTGACTAACTTTTTTTATTTTTTTAAAAACAGTGTTTTCATTTAAAAAAAATTTAAAAATTATGTTTTAAATTTTCTTTAAAAATTTTATTTTAAAAAAATAGTTGTAGAATTAACAGACTGGAATAAAAGTAATAAACAGACGAGAATATGCATTTAATAAACAGACTAAAATTATGATATAAGCAATGTTCAATTTAAATTAAAAATGTATCATTACAAATTCCTCTGGCCGTTATGATAATATCTAGATTCATCATAATTTAAATAATCATCTTAGATCTCGTCTTCTTCTTGGTTGCCTCCGCGTCTACCTCCACATTGGCCTCTGCTTTGGCCTTCGCGACTGCCTCCACGGCTACCTAAGCGGCTGCCTCCGCCTTGGCTGCCTACAGATGTCTGAAACTGAAACCGGTCATAAGACAGATCCTAAAAAGCTTCGAATCAAGGCAACCCGAACCCAGAGTTGGAATGGAAATAACCGCCCATCTGCGGAACTTGAGGAGTCTGCTCAGGGTGCAGTATATACGGCTGAGGCTGAGGTTGAGACCGAAATCCGGCGTTTTTGGGCGATACGTGGATCCTCTCCCCGCCTAGATCGAGAAGATGAAGCGCCACTGCGGTCGTACAAAATCTGTTGCCCCTCAGCCCCCATGCCCGGAACCCGACCCTTGTACACCCCCAGCTACCTCAACGATCGCATCAGCTTCCGCATCAGAATCGAGCTCATCCTCGTCAGTCAAGCCTCATTCCGCACGCTTCTTCTCAACAGTTGTGTAATAATTCGTCTACATGTACAAAAATTGTTGAAATGTTACTTACTTCGATTTTGAATGGTACTAAGTAACAAAATTGATGTTACTTACTTTGATTTCAGCGAGGCGGGGTGACAGATCGGCTTCCGACTCATCGCCGTGCTTCGTCCAACAGTGTTTGATAACCTTGAGGATCGAGACCTTCTTCTTCTCAGGCTTAAAATTCATGGTTCGAAAAAGACTTAAAATTCATAAATAAATGTAAAAAATGAAGGGTTAAAATGGTGTAAGGTTTATTTGCATAAGACTTACAAGAGCTTCTTTATGTTTACTCTGAGGTTTGCGGCCTCCGTTCCATTATGTCTCCAATGCCTTCTCGGACATCCGATTTTTCTTACTAGCTTCGCTTCTTGCCAAGAAGTTTGGATCCGAAGACCAGTGGCGGATGAGGTTACCCCACACCTCATCCGAACACCATCCAGGCTTTACCCCACTAGCTCGGGGACGCTTAAAAGTTGGACGAAGCCAGTTTGAAACTCTAGCATTATACGCTCTAAGAATAGCAGGGCCTTGTGCTTCAGTCCATCGAAACCGGCCCTTTATTAAAAAAAAATTATCATTTGTCAAATTTTAAGTTACTACAATTACACATAGAATATTCATTTATTTTTACCTTGAACTGGTTCCACCAAAGTTCACGGACCTTGGGGTCAACTTCCGTGTAGGTTGCCCAGTTCCCTAGAAAGTGTTCTCCAACTATGGTTTTGATTTCATCCAACACTTCTTGATCGCTTCAAAAAATTAATATTAATAATATTTATTTATAGAAGTTTTGATTACATTATTTGACATAAGAAAAAGTTATTTGACATTAGATAAAATTCATAGTTACTTACTTTGCAACCATGTGAGGTGTCACCTAACGCGCATTTTCATTGCTGCGCTCTGCTTTGGTTAAGGGCACATA